TTTCTCCTCTGATGCCGATAACGCAGTTTGTTTCGATCCACTCCGGTATCAGACATCACACAGACTCAACACTTGGAAGCAAGAAGAGAGAGAAATGTAGAGAGATGACAAGTTTACAATGAGATAAAAGGACAAAGCAAAGGAGGTCCGTGAGGATTTTAAGTTGAAACTATAACTTTTGAAAGAAAACATAACTCAACCTTCCTCTCGCAAATGAAAATTATATTTATAAGCAATAAAACTGAAGCGCCGTTGCTCATCAGGGGTTTTGCTGCTGCAGCTGTACTCGGTCTGCTATGACCGAGTTGCTTATGATGACTAATATCTGTAAACTTTAGATATACTGTTGCATAAGCTCAGCATTAATGGGTAACCAGCTAGCGTAGCTCTGTCCAAAGGTAACACCTTCCAGCACCTCTGAAGTTCACTCATTAACAGGTAGTATGCGGTGCCAGAGATTGGCCAGTACTCATGAGCACTGAGTATCCTTACTCCTTCCTGCATACTGCCACCTCCTGGTGAGTCTGAACCCTATGCATCCGTGTTATGCTTGATTTACACCACAAAGACGTGAACTACTCCGCCGCTGATTGGTTTGGCGATTTGGTTGGTTAAAATGGCAGTGTCAGAGCCAATCAGAGGGAGAGTACGGGCAGAATACGGGTGGGAAAAAATAAAACATATCTGCGCTAAACACAAAATGGTGCTGAAAATGTCTTTATTAAAATGGATAAAACATGGCAAAAGTATTGGTTAGGTGTATGTTGTGGTTATGGTTGTGCTGAATGGTATGGTTGTGTCAAATTCAGACACTTGTATGTTTAATCTGCAAGAAAACAGTAACTTCCTAAAGTCTTTGCAACTGGTCCTGACCAAGTAATATTTGGTCAATAAGCTCCCATGAAACGTATTAATTAGTGAGCTGTTTTTGGTATTTATGCTACGCTAAGCTAACTGGCTGCTGTTGGTAGCTTCATTCTTCGTGTACAGATGTGTCATCTCCTCTTCCTCGAATGGTTTCTCCACTAAAAAGCACGGAGGATGTTTTTTTTTCTCCATCCATCTCATCATCACCAGTTCCAGACATTGTCCTCAGGGAATCACTGCAACCTGGACCCTGAACTCCTTAAACCCGTTTATTGCCCTTGAATGAACGGCAAGATTTGTGATGTGTGTATTTGTGCTAGATTCTTTATTCTTGGAATAAGGTAGCAGCTACTCTTCCCCCGGGTCCACACACAACAAAACACTGAGACTTTTATGTGTTATGTGTCTTATTTGTATGTATGAGACCATATAAACCTTTGTTGGATATATGAAAGTTAGTATTATTAGTTATAGTATTATATATTAGTAGTTAGTATATAAGTTGTCTCTGTGTTTGTGTCCATGCAATAACTGCTTTTACACATATAGCTGTGTTTTCATTATTGTGAAATGACTGAAGTTCTTGAAAATGTACTGTATGATTAAATAAGACATTATTTAGGGATGAGTACACTGTTACCTGTATCTGTTCCACCAACTAAATTATTAATGAGTTACTGACACATTTTAATCTGATAGCGCTTGCATTCGTAAAAAGTACATAATGCATAACAGATAATCATTTCACCCTAGCACTTGATCACCCACAGTTATTATACAATAAAATTAGACATTTTGTGATAGATTTATCCATATTAGCCACCTCTAGCAAACATTAGGACCCCCTGGGTGTTTATGACCGTACTGACCTGCAGCTGCTGGACCAGCTTTTTGGAAAGAAAACCTTCACATTTTACTGAATCTGGGTCCCAAACTGCTCATTATTCACAACGTTGTCCCCCTTTTGTAGTAGGTTTCACATTTTGTAGTACTGTCCAAATTTCTGTTTACCCAAAGCAGTGGATTCAAATGATCCCACAGTGCCAGGAAAAATGGTGTACAATCGGATGTCACGAAATGAAAGCCAACTGCCGTCATTGCATTTCACTGACGAGGGAAAGAAAGCAAATTCAGACAGCTGCTGGATAAAAGGAGTGACCTGAGCGGTGTCCAAAATTGTTTGATTTGGCCATTTGATACACTACATTAACCTCTTCATCAAAATCCCCTGTATAGTGCGTTGTGATTTGCGAGTAAGTGACTGACATCTGACAAATGGTCTGCTGCTGTGTAAAAAGATGAGGCAGTTATTTGGTTGGAAAAATCCTTCTTGAAACTCGCTGTTATGGTAGTGGCTTTATAAAGCTTGTATAAAGTGCAGTGATTCCCAGCCGGGGGTGTACTTCTGTTGTTGTCAGGGGATACATGAATAACGACTGTATTTCTGTCAGAGAAGGAAACACTATCTGTTGTGGAAACCGTCAAAACATGTGGCTACACATGACAAAATCAATATGTTTAATTCAACATATCTATCAAGCCTTAATTGGTGTCTAATGGTATCAACAGTTGATTGGTGAGTTTTTTAGTCGCCAAAGCATTGATATTGGAAAAATAATTGACCCCACCTTTTAAGAGTGAGTGAAAACTAGTTAGCAATAGAGCGGCGGAAATTAAATAGTTAGCTAAAAGTAATGAATAAATCATTTGAAATAGGTAATTAGCTAAATAATGGTTAAACGGTTGGAATGTCCAGATTTTGCCCCTCCATGTGGTTGTAGTATCATTGCAAATTACACGTCCTCCTGAAAGCCCTTTATCTTCCTTTATTTGACAGTAACACAGTTCATTTGTTTCCCTCCCAGTTACCTGGCGGTGACTCAGTTTAGTCCTATCCACGCTAGGAAGGCCTTCCCCTGCTTCGACGAGCCCATCTACAAGGCCACGTTCACCCTGACCCTCAGCCACGACCCGCAGTACACCTCGCTGTCCAACATGCCCGTGGAGAGCAACTCGCTGTCGGATGAGGACGGCTGGGTGACCAATCGCTTCGCCCGCACGCCCCGCATGTCCACGTACTACCTGGCCTGGGCCGTCTGTAACTTCACCTACAGAGAGACGCAGACTGACAGCGGCGTGACGGTGAGTGTCGACACTGCTGGGATTGTGGTTTTAGAGTTCCTTTATTGCAGCTTTACCTGAGAGAAATAACTGCTTTTAAGGCTGAAGATGTGCAGAAAGTTTGTTTCAGTGATGATAGGAAAACTGTTAGAACAGGACAAGAAAGAAAGAAATTAACACATCTAATAAAAACAATAAATTAATATAAGATAGAAGTCAGAAGAAATAAGAAAAGTGAGCAAGCTCAAGCGTTAAAAAGGTATTTTTCTAACTTATATCTCCTGATCTTGTCTTAATTATCTGCTTCTCTTAAATTAGAGATGTAGTTTTTCGGTGCTCTTATTTATTTTTTTAAAGCACTCATCCTGTGATCTTGACTTAATGATCTCATTAAGTACCAAAAACCAAATGTTGTTGATTCTGTGCCTTCTTTTCCTCTCTGTCATTCCTGCTCTCTCCTCTTCTGGGACTCCCGTTTGTCTCGAGGCTGAGAGGAGAGAAATACCTCCTATAATGGAAATCTGTGTGGATAGAACACGAAATACAGACGCTCGTTATCTTGAAGTAATGACACATTTAAGCCCTGATCGCGTCTAAACTGTGTGTCATATCATTATATCTTTTGCTCTGGGGTAAACGTGAGCCACAGTCGTCACACTGTGATAATATTAGACATGATGAAGTTGTGATAGCTTTATATATACGTCAGAAAGTTATAGGCCATTTTACACGTCTAAGTCGGTTTAGTAGTCATGGTTAATTCTTCTTGTAGTCCAAGGATCCAGCTTTAGTGCGGATATGGAGAGAGTGTGTGCATCCTGGCTGTATATAGGTTCAATGAAACTGACTCAATTTAGATTGTTTTGCCCTGAAATTTTTGTTTGGTATTAAGGACCAGTGTGTAGAATTTAGTGGCTTCTAGTAGTAAAATAGCGGATTGCAGCCAACTGAATACCTCTCGCATACAAGCATAATGGAGACTACGGTGGCCGCAAATCTCATAAAGATTGTGATTGATTGATAGAAACCCTCTGTAGATAAAAACTGCTCATTCTAAGGTAACAAAAACATAATGATTCACATTTTCAGGTGATTATACACTAATGAAAACATACCTATGAATATTCTATTACATTTAAAAAAAATAGATCCTCATATTTTGAACTGTAAAAACGTATATATCCTTTGGTTTGCATAAGAAATACAAGTCTTTAGTCCTTAGAAACATACATTTTTAGCAATTTTAGCATTCAAATCTTATTCTTTGATCATTACAATTCCTCTGCACCATAAGATCTCAGAGTCAGTTAAACTGAATAAACTCTTTTATTGTTATTAAATCTGTGTAATTAGACACATTTGGGAGTTTAAATCGTCTACTTTAGAAGTTATAATCACGGAGGTCTTGAGAACACATCTTGATAAAAACTGAGTTGCTATCACATGGAAAAAATGCTTAATTACATTATCAGGGCAACTGGCTTAAAATACTACAAATGATCTGGAGATAGTGGCTGATAAATGACTAAATCCTGAGAAAACAGTTTAACATCTCCGGATGATATAATTAAGGCACATAGCTGCATTTGTTATCTCAGGATAACACACCGCTTAAGATGTGAACTCGAGATAACAGTTTCTGAGATTAGAGATAATTAACTTCCATACAGAGGTCGACATAGCTTCGTCACTTCTTTTTCCCCCTTGCAACAGCTGTGTGAACCCTTGGATATGCTGGGAGAAAACAGAGGACCGAATTTTAGTCGGTGCCAAATTTGAGAAGGTTTGGATCAAGGGTTTTTAAAGTCTGACACTGTCAACCTTCCCTTCAACCAAAAGAAAAATAACTGAGAAAACTGTGCCTGCAGGTTTTCAACACAGGCCAGATATAGTATATGAATGGGCATAGTTCAATGTCACTCTTCCCGGGATACAAGAACCATGTTTCTCAGTAATGACCCAAAGTTCTTCGTGCAACATGAAACAAGGTAATATTTATGGTTTTGTCACTCCTGTACTTCATCTTGCTTCTATTTTGGGGATAATCACACTCCAATTTCTGAAACTTTAGTTTTCATAATGCTTGGTAAACAGGGAATATACTGTTACTACCTCGCATTTTAGTATATATTTGTTACATTTTGGTAAATTGGCAGCATTAAAAGTATGCCGATTTATCTATTACCTGTTCCTGTTTGCAGTGTAACCATGCATGTACAGACAACTATCACTGGCTTACTTTAATACAGAAGAAAACTTAAAATCGTGATGATTCTCAAGTTCTGGAGTCGTTTTTCTTTGGTTTCTAAGCAGGTTTATGAATATTTATTAACGATGGACATTAAAGATAATTATAAAGGTGAAAGTGTAGATCACTGAATCTAAACCTATGTGAACCATGTCTGTGTGTTCAGATTCGACTGAGTTATGACTAAAAAGGAGTGCTATTTTTGACTAATTGTAGCAATTGGGTGCTAAGTACGTTAATTACCTCTGTGAGCTGCTGCTGCTGCTGCTGCAACTGCTGGCCATTAAACGGCCAAATTAGTGGCCAAACTACAATAAATTACTTCCAGTTGTTTTTATAACACCAGCACGAACGTGTCCCTTTCACCTTGAGCGGTCCGCCCCAAGTCTCTCCATTTGTGCCGCCCGTCAGCTTACAGCAGGAAAATGTTTAGTTTTAATGATTCAAACATCCGGTTTTAAGTACTTGGAGCCGGAGTCGGCATCCAGAACCAGACCAATGAACTTGCATCAGTCGACACCAGCCTGAAGTCCAACCCCCAGGCTGTAAAAGACCAGACAGTTCTATCCGTTTTATGTCTATGCTTCACAGTGTTTATCATGTCTATCGTGTCTGTTATGATTCTGATTTGAAAGTCAGAACCTTCCGCCTCTGTATTCGGCCGATATCCCATCATCCTTTTAACAACCATAACATTTAAAACTGAAATATGCACACGCACGCGTCCACGCTACTATACAAGGACAAATACATGCACGACCTTGTTTCTCCTCCTCTTCTTCTTCTTCTTCCCCTCCTCCGATCATCTCTCTATCAGTGTAATTACAGCTCATCCATCTCGTCTGCCAGAGACTCAAGGACAGCACTACACACACACACACACACACACACACACACACACACACACACTCTGCTTGTGTCTCCTTGTTACTGGAAGATAATTTTGGCGAAATACTGTTTTAATGACAATTCATATCTGGGTCATTTATAACCATCACCAGTCTCCATTGTCCCTGTGTGTCTTTGTGTGTCTTTGGTGTGGTAGTGTGTCCCTTGTGTCGTGGGTTGGGTGTGTGTGTCGTGTGTTGGGATGTGTGGTGTGTGTGTGTGTGTGTGTGTGTGTGGAGTAATCAGACAGTGAGTTTTAGTCTTTACAATGAATACATTCATCTTTATTTTTGTTCTTTCCCTTTTTATTTACCAAAAAAACTAGAAGCATCAATTCCATTATTTTACATTCATCAGAGTAAATTAAAGAAATCAAAGGTTACACGTCGTAACTCTGGTTCCAGTTCTGGTTGTATAGACCGGTGGTTCAGAGTGGGCCATTATCTCTGTGAAGAAATGTACATATAATGTAAAGTATATTGTCTAATAGAACAAGCGTCAGGGTCAAGAAAACACTGAATTTGTCAAAAAAAGAAGCCTATTAATTTTGTATGATTGTTAAAAATTATAAAAAAAAATCCATAATACAGACAGAGAATTGTATAAAAAGTTATTTATATATATATATATATATATATATATATATATTAGGAGTGTGTATCTCGCAAAGGATTTAATAATATGTATCAAGGTACACGGGCTGCAATCGAATACAAAAATTATACAGATATGATTTAAAGCCAATACAATATGATTTGATTTAACTGTGATTTAATATTGTAGCAACTTTGATTCGAAACATCCGATACTTTTAGTTGGTCGTGAATGAAAACGTATTAGGTTTTAGGTAATCCGATTTTAAAGAAATGCTGCCAACAGGATATTATTACTGTATATGCTTTGATTCCCAGACCTCCATTTTGATTTTGTATTTCCAACAACACTGTAACAGCCCATGTCCTAATAAAGAGAACCACTTCTTCAACCAGGAGAAGCTGGCTCCAATCTGCTTTGGGAATAGCGTTAGCAGCTAATAGCCTCAGGTTGACTGTTTTTTGTGAACACGTAAGCCTCTTAAATCAACAGCAGCAACATACTGTATGTGCATTTTGCTGCTGCAGATAATGATGATGATGATGATACTCTGAAATTGCTTGTCTTGCATCACAGCAGCTCCATTTGCAACATCACAGAAAAAACATAAATCATGCCAAGAAATGAGATACATTTAACAGAAGACAATATTCAAGACCCTTCAACCTGCATTTAAACTGGGATTAAGCTCCATATTTAATTTTAGGACTGACTGGTGCACAAAAGAGTGCTTCAGTCTAATCTTGTTAAAGCGCGGAACGCTGTATCTCGGGCTTGTTGGTAAGAGTTTGTATTCACTGTTCAGGACGTGGTCGGGGTCGCAGACAATGTTGTTGGCCAGCCTTAATATAATATTACTGTACTGATTCATAGAGTTTCTCAAAGGGCTGACCTACATTCTTTGCACAGGCATTTAATGAAGCAGTTTTGACTTTAAAGTAGTGGACAAACGTGTTTACCATGAAGGACCTGTAATATTACGATTTCAGGCGACATTTCTTAGGGTGTGGACATTTTTCCAGGAAGCCCATTTCACACTGGTTAACCCACATACATCTGGCTTTTGTCTTCAGTACAGTCAGCATTCATCAGGGTTCACAAGTATCCTGGAAAACCTGGAAATTTAGAGATTAGTTTGATCATGGAAACACCTGGAAATTGATTAAATGTCCTGGAAATAATCTATGTTGTCCTTTAAAGTTTCATACTACTTCACCCCCCCACTTAGATCGCCTAAACCTAGGTGTGTATTTTGTTTTAAACTCAACTGGTAGTAGGGTAAGCTGCACAC